AAAAATAGTTGAATTTTAAAATTTCAAATCAGTATTGGTTACTACATTTATAAAAAAAAGACTACATTCAAAAAACAAATGACAACATATATTTATAGTAATTCCTGATTTGGAATTTTAAAATTCAACAATTATTTTTTTAGACTTTTCTCTTTAAAAAATCACCTGGTTCCGTTTGGAGACACGCATCTGTGGTCTCTCCTTTTGGTACCTCACTAAAAAATTGTTTGACAAGAGAGTTTATATTCAGTAGGTTGAAAATGATGATACAATATTAAAGAAAAAAAACTCAAATAACCATATTGCCCTTAATGATGATATATTAATCAAATCTTAATTTAAATTTAAATTTTAAAATTAAAGTATTCAAAAATTCAAGGAAAAATTTCAGAAAAAGCCCTTGAAATATAAGAAATTCTAGATTAGGTCCTAGAATTTGGTGAATGACAGAAAGAGTCATTGACCTAATCTGTCATTTGTAAAATTAAAACAAATTGACAATTTTACTCCTGGCTAAGCAAAAGTAAGTAGTTATTCTCTAAACAAATCTAGGTAACACTTACACTGTTCTGGTGATTACAAGATTAGTTGTAATTAATAATGAGGTACCTGACTATGAAAAAGTGAGTAGTTATTCTCTACACGAATCTAGGTAATACTTACATTGTTTTAGTGATTACAAAATTAGTCGTAGTTAATAATAAGACACCTAACTATGAAAAAGTTAGTAGTTATTTGCTACATGAATTTAGGTAACGCCTAAACTCTTATAGTGATTTCTTAAATCATTGTAGTAAATGAATATAAATGAGGATAAAATTGTTAATTCCTCTTGATTTTACAAATGACAAATTGGGTCATTTATCCTTTCTGTCATTTTTGAAATTCCAAGACCAAATCTGGAATTTCCTATATCCCAAGGATCTTTTTTAGAATTTTTCCAAAATTCAATACTTCATAAAAAATACAAGTTATAATAAATTACAATTTAAATGATAATTACAAACTTTATGCGTAAATAGAAAAATTATAATAGATACTAAACGATTAAAAAATAATTGAACAAGAATAAAATAAATAAATAACAAAATGTAAATATAATTAATAAACATTTGAAAGTTCGAATGAAGAATAAATAAATGCTATATAAAACAGATTATAGAATGGGCATACACGCATAAATAAACAAACACATCCTTCTCTATGGCCTTTTATATTGACCTGACTTGTTTACCCGATAATGTGGATCTCTTGTCGGGAATGTTTATCTTGGCAGCGGATCTGAAACTTCCTTACGTGTGAAGTTCGCAGGGAGGAGGGATGAAGATGGAGAGGGAGCTTCTTCTTTCTTTAGAGTGGTGTTTTTAGACTATTGTGTTTTATTTCATTTTTTTCTCTAATTCATTAGAGAACACTGTTGAGCTCTAACCTGCCAATATTAATATTCAGATTCAAACGACGGGGCGTATCTTTCCCCTCCCCTGCGCACCTCATTCAGTCAACGGAACATTGCAACCTCATTACCATAAAGCTCCATGTCCAAGCCTGTCCAGAAATCTAACTCCAGAGGTGGCAGATCAGCTTGCTGTTCGTCTTCCACCGCAAAATCTGCCCCCTTCCCTCCAGCTTTGCCTTCGCTGGGTGGTTCAGCAGCAACCAAGTCCGATGAAGCCATGGGGGATGCGGATGAGGCACCGCCAACAGTGGCGGCAATAATGGACGGCTCCGCCTGGCGTAAGAGCCACTCAGTGGTCCGTCCGTGATTCTTGTTTCCCAGCTCGCCCGTAAGCTGGAAGACGCGAGCAGCGCACAACTTCGGCAAACGGACGCGACGGTCTCGCCCGTCAATTCTGCAGTGACGACGGTCCTTCTTGTTGCTGCCTCTGCAACCCACTGGTATTCCGACTTTAATGTATTCAGCGATTGGGTTCGCTGGGGCTGAAGAAGGGTCAGAGAGAACCCCGTCCACGCTGATTTCTTCTGAATTGTTTGTTAACTACTTGGGATGGATTTTTTCTCTTGGAGGACCTCAAATTGCGATGGGTGTTCAGAACCACCAGCAAATGGGTCAATATATAATCTCACCTGTCATAATTTCTTTCTCTTTAAATTGATTTTTAAGGAAAGAATGCGTGGCTGTATCATAATGCTACCTGAATTCCAATTCACCTGTGGTTCTTCCTTTTCCTTTTCTTGGATCCAGTAACGCCTGCTCCTAGTAGGAGGCCAGAGCATCCTGAGCATTAAGGCCAGGGTTCAAATGACGGTGCATCAGAGAGTGCACTTTATTAGGATGGCAGAAGAAATGCTTATTATGTTGCTCATAATGATCATGAAGAGGGTAGTAGAAGACAAAACAATGAATTAATAATGTGCTCTGATCATACTTTCCTTTAATCAGCTTTTATGGTTCCAACCTTTCTGTAATTATTGTTATGGTGCACAGATGATTAGCTGTCCCCTGTTCACAGGGATATTTAAATAAAAACCAAATCTTAATTTTAAAAATAGTATATACAAAATAAGTATCTGAAAACAGTTTTATCTTGAAGCATATAAAAATACCTTTAAAAAGTTTTTTTTTTTCAATGAATCAAACGCCCCCTCACGCCTGCGTAAATAAAAAAGCTGGTTGGCTGTCCCTTGAACGTGCCAAGTAAAAATATTGTGTCGCCTGATCCAGTCAAATTTAGTGTCATCTAAATGTCCCGTGCTCACTGATACTGTATAATAAGAACTGGAATTGCTGGTAAAAAAGAAAAAAAAGAACTGGAATGAAAAATAATTAAGAAAAAAGTGCGAACAAAAAATTTAACTTAATTTTTAAATACAAAGCTCAATATGATTTCCAGCCAAATTGAAACCAAGGCTCGTGCCGGTCCATTATACTCGTATTAGAAACGCCCGTGAATTCCACGGCAACATCTTGAGAGGCAATCAAAGATCAATGGAAGTTCTGTATGGAGAAAGATTGGAATTTGGAATTTCTGATTTTACTGGCACATTTCAATGTTGATACTACTCCGTCTCTTATTATAAGATCTTATTTTTTGAATGGGTTTGTTTCTTTTTGTAAGATCATTTTTTAGTTTATTTGAGTATTTAATACATTCTCTTTCTTCATTTATCTTATTACTATTCTCTCACATTTACCTATTTATATATAGAGGTATATTTGAAAAAAATAACATTTGCTGCATATTAATTACTTTCGACTAATTTTAACTGTTTTCTTAAACTGTGTAATTTACTCCCCTGGTCCTATTTATAAGGCACTTCTAACATGTTTCATACAGACCAAGAAAAACCTTAAACTGCATTAACTCTCCATTAAAATATAGTAACTTTCCAACTTTACCCCTATTTAATATATACTCATTTCAAAAAAGATAACTATTTACACTATAATAAATGAAGGATAAAATGGTACATTCACACTGAAAAGTTAATGAAGTGACTTATAAATAGGACCAAAAAAACCTTCTCTCTCTACCCTATAAATAGGACCAGAGGAGTAGTTAAAAGAATCTTATAATAACGGACGAGGAAGTATTGTTTTAGCATTCACACACTCATTGCTCTTAGGTGGCTGATGATGATAGGACGAACTTTATTAGACCTCGCTGCAAATTAATGCATTGGCTTCCCACTTTTTTTTCCAATAAAAAATGCTCATTTTAAAAATAGAATTTAATATAATTGCATGAAACTTTCTAAATCACGTGAAAAAAAAATCAATGGAGTTATGTAGAATTAAAATTGAGACGCATGTAAATAGTGTAATTCCCTCTACTGTGAAATATATTTTGACCAGTGAGAAAAATAAATTACTCGTCTGATCTGAATTTTTTTTTCAATACACATATGGAGTGGCAACATGATTTAAGGGATGTTTGAATAGAAATAAAATTATGATTTCAGAAATAATTTTATCATTTATAAAATAAATATATAAAAAAAATTATCTCTATTTATTAAAAAATATTTTTAAAAAGTAGTTATAAACTCATTCAAACACCCTGTTAACGTCCCCTAGGAAAACACGGTGAAATATGTGATGGATACCTGCCAAGTAAATCCAACATTTATAGGTAAATTTTACGTGTTTCGCTGGTATTGAAGATTCATCAATCCCAGTACCACCGCCCCCGCGAGCCCGAACTCACAAAAGCGACAAGGGCCCTCTCAAGTCTCAACAGTTCGCGTAAGAAATGGAAACTTCTGGAAGCTAGTTCGTCGCCATATAGCTAAACCCTAAACTCTTACCCCCTCCTTGCTGTAGAACTGCTAGTAACCTTATCCTCAAGCTCCCCGAAGCACATTACCAGCGGGAAATGGCATCGGCAAACGCTATCTCCTCGGCCTCTCTCCTTCGCTCTCCCAAGCATGTGCCTTACTTTATCTTCATTTCATTTCTCCTTGCTTATAGGGAAGTAACGGGATTACTTATGTATATTCGTATCTTCGCTTTTTTCTCTTACACGTGATTTTATGGCAATACGAGCGCTTTCGTTTTATTCCATGGTCTTACGAGCTGAACTCACTATATCCAGTCTAGTGATGGATAGCCTCAAGGACTTGATTCAATAAATTATTCGTCTAAGTTTTTGCCAGTATGAGTATAATTTCTGAAAAGAAAACGCGGCTTTAACTTCTATTACGAACGTGATTTTTCACGCGTCTCTGATGAACATTTTCGAACGGTGCGCGCATGTGTGTAAATTTCCATTTGCAGTTCAAATTCTCTGTATCACTCTGTCTTTCAGTCTTCTTCTGGAGTTCAATCATTTTGTGAAACTTTTGAGTGCAGATTTTCAGTAGAAGGGCCAACCAGCAGCAACCGAATGGGAGGGTAAATTACAGGCAATTTGGCAATCGGTTTGTGGTGAGAGCTGATGCTAAAGAGATTGCCTTTGACCAGAATTCCCGTTCAGCTATGCAGGCTGGCATTGATAAGCTAGCAGATGCTGTGGGACTTACCCTTGGGCCCAGAGGTAAGATTTTGTTATTTTAATTTTTTTTATTTAAAATTGCGAATAGAAATGTAATTAGGAAATAAGGATCCGTGGAAATAATTTTTTCTATTTAGTGAGAGTCATTATATTTATTTGCTGCTTTGACACTGACTTCCCTGCTTATGTAACGGAGGAATAATGTTTTTTCCTTACTGTAATCGGCATAGGGAGGAACTAAGTGAAGGATTGATTTTTTGCCTTTTAATGAATCTTCACTTTTCCTTGGTCTAAAAACGGAGTTCACGTAGAACCTGTCCTATCGGAATTAAAGGTCAGTTTGACAGTTTCTAAATGTGTGAACAAGGATTTCAAGAAGGGTAAAAAGTTCTTTATCTTTACTCAACGCCAAATCCTTAAAGTTCATACTTGCACAGGGTTTCTTATTCTCGGCACATTTTTGGTCTTTAATACGTCAAATAATTCTGTTTATTATTGTTCTGCAGGAATGCGAGCTGTTGAGATGACTATATGAAGCGAGTTTCTTTCTTTACATAAGTATTGTAAAATTGGCCGAGTTCTGACATTCCGTTGGAAGTAAATATGGTTGTTTCCAGCAAATTTTTTCTGAGTTAAGACGCTATTATTGGAGAGATGATTTCGTGTGAGCAAGATCCTGATGTTGTGCAATGGGGCCCGCAGCTTTTTGATGCAGGGCCATATTCTACCTGTGGTTATTGTGGTGCTGTTACTCTGGAAAATGTTGGCTGCTATCATGGGCATTATTATAATGAAGACAATTATGAAACTGAATTTAGCAACACAGAAAATGATGAGCTCATGGCACATGCTCTTCAACAACAACTATCACAACTCGCAGTTGCAGAAGCCCCCACACCTCCAGATCAATGGGAGGAAAATCTACAGCTATCTACTTACCCACATGACTGGCGTAGCCATCCTATGGGTAACTATGACCCCCGTATGTTGAATATTCCTTCTTTAATGTCTTCTTAAGCCTCTAAGTTTCATGCATTACTCTATTGTTTTGAATTTAGTTTATGCAAAATTTGTAGGACAGGAGAGTGATCAAGAAGACGAGGATGATGGAGGACCTTCTAGTATATGTTCTAGCTCAGAAAAGAATTCATATTGTGGTGATGAATGGCTTTATTCATGGGAGGAGATGGATGAATGTGCTGATGGAGAAGTGGGCAAAAGGTTGAATCAGATGATACCAATTCCAGTAAGTTTTGCTTCTCAAGTTCCATTGATGCATTTCTGGAGAAGGCATTACGTTTTGTTTTTGATTTATGCCTTCATTAGTTAACATCAATTCACATCTCTGGGTGACAAACGACAATTTTGATATGTTACCATAGCTAGTGATGTTAATTGCCGAAGCACCAGGTTTTATGCGGCTGCATTTAGGTTGCCATCTGTCAATTTCATGATGCTGTTTGGATAACATTTTCTATTGTCATTGATCGCTAGACTACAATCTCGATTCTCACTTCTGCTGTTTTGTGTTAGTCACCTATGAGAAACTTCTGTCTTGGTTGGGAAAAAAACCAAGAAGAGAAGAAAGGGGGTGTTGGATATATGATATGTTTTCCAAGTCTTCTATCATTTCCTACATTTGCGATCCTTCATGCAGCATGTTCCTAGAACCAACGGAGAAATACCTTCAGTTGATGAAGCAACATTAGATCATCAAAGGCTACTGGACAGGTATTGCTTGCTAGTTTGCATGTTGATGTTGGTTTCTTTCCGCCTTTTTCTTTCTAATTTCTGTTTGGAACTTTCTACATATCTATGATCTGGTCTTGCTTAAATTTGTTATGCTTGACAAAAAATGCTGAGAATGCTTGTCTCATTCACAGATTGCAGATGTACGAGTTGGTTGAGTCTAAAGTTGAAGGAGATGGAAGCTGTCAGGTTTGTTCTTTTCTTTCATGGCATTGCCATCTCCTCAAATCACCATGTTTAGTCTTTCTTCAGAAATTAGACACTTTTCAATAATTATATGATCTACATGCAAATCAGAAAAGACCAAAAAAAAAAAAATTGGGTTTTATGCTTTGTCTTATCATGATCATTGAATCAACCATCATGTTAATAGTGCGTGCATGGTGATACATTTACATACCACTTAGATTTCAAACTTTTATGGTGTGATCTTTGTGCTATGTAGTTCCATTGATGTCACATGAGATATTTTTCCCTTTTCAGTTTCGTGCACTATCAGATCAAATTTACCGAACTTCTGAGCACCATAAATTTGTGCGAGAACAAATTGTGAATCAGGTTTGCGCCTATTTCGTAAGACCTCTGTATTATTGTCCATAATAATCGATGGGTATGATTTCATGACAATAGTTGCTGTTAAGTTAATGTTGTCTGTGCAATTTTAATGGGATATATATTCATGGATCAGTTGAAGTCATATCCAGAGAAATATGAGGGATATGTTCCCATGGCTTATGGAGACTATATAGAGAAGATGTCCAAGTACCTCTCTGCTCATCCTTGCTTATTTTTATCAGTTTCTTTCTTGAAATATTTGTTCCGTACTTTGATTATCTTTCTGATGGGATCAGGAATGGTGAATGGGGAGATCATGTTACTTTGCAGGGTGCAGCCGATACTGTATGTCTCAGCATCTTGTCTATAAGCATCTTAGGGTTATGATGCGTGATCTCTATGGATTCTTTTACAACTTCTGGCTGGTTATTTTCTATCATAAATACTACTACTCCGGTCCTTAATATAATGCCTATTTAACTGATTTGATTAGACTAAGGAAGTTAGGTAAGTTAGTTAATTATAAAAAATATGACATGTTTTTCCTAAAACACCATAATCATCTTTCTTAATATCTTCCCTCCCTTACTTACTTGATTGTGGTTGAGGGAGTATTTATAAGGATAATTTAGGAAAAATTGAATATATGAGAAATAGGTCTTATATTTAGGAATAAAATTAACTTAACAATTAGATCTTATATTAAGGACTGAAGGAGTATATTACATATCCTGTTTAGTGTTAGCATAGTTTAATTAGAATTGGAACTGAAACGATCCACAAGGGCCACCTTATTTTGCATCACAGTAATTGTTCTCTTGAAATGATCATTGTGTTCTCTAACTCCTTTTAGCGTGTGTTGCAGTATATTTGTCATAACATCATTCAAGGACACTTGCTGCATTGAAATTCTTCCTAATTTTGAAAGATCAAAACGAGGTACAGTTAAGTCCCATCTTTAATGAACCTCCAATCACATTTTACTAATTTTGTGCAATTCACATCGATTAATACTATATCTTTATGCTCTTAAAATGGAAAGCATATTTCTTTGTTGTAATCATTTTCGGTTTCTAGTTGTGACCTGCAATAAAACTTAGACATAGCCCTACATTCCAAATAAGAATCTTGTGATTACAGGTTGACTAAGCTCACTTTTGACACTACTAATTAATTCTCTTCTTTTCCTTTTTCCTTTGGAAATAAAAGAAGTTATTTTGCTTCAAGAATGGTGGCTTTTCTTAGTTGTTTATTATTCTGAGCATTGTGCAGTAATTTGCCTGAGCTTCTGGGCTGAGGTACACTACAATTCAATATACCCTGAAGGAGGTTGGTAAGCATATGTATCCCGTCAACCATTGTTCTGCTATACGCTCTATTTGCTGTTTAAAATGATTAAGTTGTTGTCGTCAGATGTAATTCATGTAACATTAATTTTCCACCGATGACAGTTTCTTGTGTGCTTGGCTGTTAAGAGGGAAAACAAATTTGTATCAGCTAAGGACAATATTTTAAAAGGATAAGATGCTTAATACCTTAGAAGTATCAAAGAAGGAGCATCCAGCACGTGAAAGTTTTTTTTCGCTCTTGTAGGCTCTGGAAGTTTATTTTCGTAGTAAAAATACCTTGGCAGTTATCCGTTTCAAACTTAACGATAGATAACGATTCAAGACAGAAATGCTATGAAATAAAACTTCCAAGAAGTATAAAAGCAAAAAAAAAAAAAAAATCAAATGCTGGGTGCTCCTTTGCTTTTAGGATATTTAAGCATCTTATCCCTATTTTAAAAGTGAAAGTGAATAAGTGAAAATTGGGGGAGGAAAGGAAACGCTATGAGAGCCTTGACGATGAATGCCTTATATTAGACAACAAAGGACTAATTGAGTAAAATGGCTTTCTTCGACAATTTGCAGTTTGGAGAATTGAGATCACGAAATATATTGTGGGAATCATACTTTCCCATTTTTCTTTAGATAATTTCCATCTTACGAAGTCATTGAAAAGTTCTTTTTTTCTTTGCCATAAAATTTCAGGTGATATTTGATAGAAAATATGATATTTTTACTAAATTTCTTTAAGAATTGATTTACCAAGATGTTTGTTAGGTTTACCTTTAGGGCCTTATGAACTTCGAGGAATTAATTAAATTATTCTACACTCACTCAATGGGAGATTCGCACCAAGTTATGTCAGTCTTTTATCTGTGAATTATTTATCCAGCGCTATGGATACACTGTTAAGAGTCTCTTTATTTTAGCGTCTATTGCAATAGGTGTTGGGTTTGAGATGTTGATAACCGACCGAATCTAGATTATTGCAGGTCCGCATGCTGATATGTGAGTTGTTTCCCATTTCTTCCCCTTGCTGTCAAAGTCTCATTCTTTTGCCTGTTGGCTTGCTGAGCAATTGCCCTCGAATTTATTGCAACCCAATGTGCATCCTTTGCGCTTTATGCACTCGGGGGCAATTATATTGACGGTGGCGGGGTTACTGGTTCGCGATCTATCATCTTATTGACCAATTTAATGCGTGAATTGTTTTGATATCTAAACTAGAACATGTTTGAATTACATGCGCAGCGTTGAATCTGGCAGTTTGATGCATCCTGTCCGGTTTTGAATTTGAGATGATGTTAATAGTTAGGTGTCACCGCCTTTCCCCGTGTTCAATTTTATTGCAAGCTTCCCGCTGTCCTCATTTCAAACTCTAGCATGCCTTTGCCCTTAATATATACCGAGGTGTTAGAGGCAGTAATTTATACTTTAGAGTAAGTGAACCGTTAATGGATTGTCAATATTTGTACATCTTGAGGCGTAAGCCGTTGGTTGAGTAACCGGTACTTGTATTTTGAATGGACAAATACAAAGGACGAACGCAGTTAGCGAGTGAATATTGACATTGTTAGTGAAGGATTGAAAGGATTGAGTTGAGATATATTTTGTCGTGTCCTTATCAAATGAAATTCTCGTAATCAATGTTTAAATGGAATAACCAGCATTCATTTGGTTAATTTTTTCCCTTCAACATTCTAATTAAGAATGTTTGTTATTGTAATATCACAATTCTTAATTAACGCAGGTAAAAATTTTCAGTCCACTATAAAAAAAAAAGAAGGGATTTTTTATTCCAACTTACAGCTAACTTATATATGTTTTTTTACAAGTGTTTATAAACAATTTTATGTAAACTAAGACAAAACTCTCTTCTTGTATCTCATAAATCATTATTGAATAGCTGTTTTTATAAGATCTAATCATAACTTAAAACAAGTATTAATCTGTAAATGAAATAATGGAAGTGCAAATGACAGGGCAGCGGAGGCAAAACTACTTTCAGCCATCTTTAAACAGTTTCTATGTATTTCTTTCTTCGTTTGGCATTCAACATCAGGAAAGGAATCTCCTTGGAGAGCTTTGAAGAGTATTTGTATATTCTTCTAACAGTTTGGCGTGTCAATCCACTCTTGATTTTGTATGCATCACGTCATATGCTGTGAAACAGCACGATATATAAACTATAAAATGTATAAAAAGAAATATTATTCATAAAGAAACTACTCGTCGCCCAACTTTTTTTACCGTTTTACGCAGCACGAGAGGAAGATATCCACGCGCCCACCCGAAAAGAAGAAAAGGGATGTCCGCAGTATATCGGACCAGTAATAAAATTGACTGTTGAAGGAAGCTAAAATAAATATGGCTTTCAATTATTTCCCGGATAAATATTTTGACTTAATTTCCTTACCAAAAGTACTCCATCCGTCCTTTTTTACAAATGACAACTACTATGTCCATTTTTTTAAAAAATATAAGTAACATTTGCAAGTTCTTTTAAATTTTTGTAGCAAATTTTCTATTTTATCTTTATTAATTACTTATTTTAATACTCATTATATTTATTATTTTATTTTTCAAACAACCTTTTCTCTCCATCACACATTTTCTCTTTTTCATAATTCTTTTTATTATAATATATTTTTTTATTTTTTTCTCATATTCTCTCTTCTTCATAAATAAGGGTAATTTGCAGGAAAAAACTTTTACATATTTATTATCTTTAACTAATTTTAATTAATTTTTCTATTTACATAATTAAGCCTAAGATTGTTTATAAAAAAAGACGGAGGGTGTGAATAAATTTCCCGATGGCCAAAGACGCAAGTAAATTAAAGTTACTTGATCGGATGAAATTATTTAAAAGAAAAGAGATTGAAAAAGTTAATCAGTATAGAGCAGAGCAAACTATTTTTTTTCTTTTGCTATTAAAGCCAAAAAAAAAATCACAAAATATAGAAGCAAAAAATCGCATCATCATTCTCAACACCCTCAAAGTGACAGAACTCACAGAAGAGGTCTATCCGTTTCCCGGCCACTTTTGCCACGAAGCGGATGGGCGACGCCTCACCATGTCTGCTGTGATGCCACGTGTAAGTGGCACGTGAGTTATCCTACTCAAACATGTCTATTCTGGGTCCGTACTTGGTCTACCTGACCTAGGATGGCCTTTTCTGGGACTACTTTCCGGTTTGATTATTCGTTGTTATTACTCCTTCTTTTCTAAATATATCTATTTTGTGGTATAAATATAAGATTTATTTTGTAATACTACTTTTAGTTTTTAATATAAGATTTTATTTAATTTTTATATTAGTCCTAATTATAATATTCAAATCCACTTTATCTTTTATATTCATGTATTTTTTTTCAAGATAGTCCTTCTAATAATGGTAGTTCTAGCTAATAAATTTGATTAGCAAAGATGTTTTAAGAAAGAAAACACTTATTTATTACAAAATAACTAATTTAACTTATTTCTTTAATCTTTTCAAATTAATCAACTAGCTATTATAATTAAGACCGGAAGTAGTATAATTTATACTATAAAACGGATTCTATTTTTAGGACAGGAGGAGTATACTATTCATCTGGATTGCTGAAATTTTTTTTTTTTTTTGCTTTTTACATTTTAAAATTGCTGCCAATTTTGTTCTACTCCTTCTTGTCCTCGGCTTTACAAAAGAACTCACCTCCTTGCTACATGAAATGTACCTTTTTTTTTTGCCAAAGCGATGAGATGCACTTGAAAGCTTTCATTGAGCTGTTACTTTTGGCCTTAACAGATACTCTAACGCATGGTTTTGTTTTAAAAAATCATTGGAAAAATTTGGCGACAGATTCCGGAAAATTTAGTTTTGCTCTTGTGCATCCTGCAACTTTGCATCTATATCTCTATATATACCTATTTCATATATGATACAAAATTCACAACAACCAAAAAGTATTATGACCAATGCAACTTATTTGACCGAATGCGAAGTTAGGATCGTAATTTACCACACGCGCGCCCACGCATATAATATTTGTATTAGAAAGCCACGACTTATGAATAATAATTTAATTTGAATTGAATTGTCGTGTTTAACTCTTATTATTCTCCTTTTATGTCTGGTAAAACACTAGGGACTTACAAAGGCTTCACGTTCAGTCATCTTTGTTTCCTCCAGGTCTTTTGCATTCTTTTGGTAGACCGATTTAATTTGTATAACGAGACTGTGCATCAAAGCTAATCAAATAAAATATTAAGAAACTATTTTATTATAGTTTTACAATAAATATTATGTGCGATTTTCCTATATATAAGAATTTTTCTCCTTTTTTTTTAAAAAAAGGGAAAAATGTATATCAAAGAAACGACGTTCTTTTGGGATATAATAATTAATGTATTATTCGCTCCAACCAAGCGAAATAAAAAATAGATAAATCCCCCCCCCCCCCAAAAAAAATCCGTTTCCATTTTCCATTACATCCGCCTCTACACTTTTCAGCCTTCAGTGATCTACTTTGTTTATATCTCTTCCGCACCATCATGTGCTTCTTCGGACCCACGCCCTTCTTCACTTTCCCCACACGCGCACACAAAAAAAGGAATCTGGAGCAATCAGCTCCTCGTCCTGTCGTCCATTTACGTTTTATACTTGATCTCTCCTTAACATATATAGTATAAAATGGTTGGTAAAGTAACAACAGATGGCTGGAAAAACAAGAATTAGAATTGAGGGCTCTTTGTTTTTACAAGAGATGCCAAAATCTTCATATCTAACGTGTGCTTCCGATTTGGGGCAGAGCATACCCAGGCTACTCGCCGGGGCAATTTTGGAATTTGAAAACTTGCCTTTCATTTTAGAGTCCTAAAGCATAGAAGGGCCTTAACTACCTGAACTGCAGAATAAACTGACCATTCAAGGTGCCCCGCAATGATTCTCCCTTCACTTTACGATTCAATTAAATAAATATCACATCCTCCTTCAAATTAGTTTCAGTATTTATCATCTTAATAAATATTCTAATTACCCAATTTTAATAAATATTCTAAACTCATCAGATCTAAATCGTCTATATCTGATTTGAACCAGATAAATTTAAAATTTTTAATTCATTATTTTCAAATAAAACTATTTTTTAAATAAATGATAATTAAGATATTATCTTCATTTTAAATTATATACATATTAAAATAATTATTCTGAATAAATAATAAGAAAAAAACCAAATTTAAACCGTCGAAATAAAATATAAACATTCCAAATCTCGTAAATTTAATATCCTCGTCAAATCATCAGCATGTAAACTGGTTTTCCCAACCCCATGATTTTGTGTCCAATTCATCAAAGTCACGGCTCTTCCACGACACGTGGGCCGTCTTTCCTTTCAAACAAAAGAATTACATTACAGATCGCATATGCGTCCGGTTCAGCTTTCCTTTAATGGATCCCTTCGTGGGCATTTAATTGGACAAAGAAGACACTGAAAAACATAAAACAGCAGAAAAGATGCGAAAAAGCAACCTGCTAGATTTGTGATTGAAACAAACCAAACGCTTACACATTATATAAGGCCGCTCATCGACTGCGGGCTACCCCTGATGTAGCCACCTCAGCCAGCCTTCCCGACATTTTCCCGCCACGATACAAGTACAATCGCCGCCCCCCACACTTGCTAAATACTGACGAAACACTTTAGCCCAAAAAAACAAAAACCTGACGAAACGGAGTCAATCCCCGCCTTTATCTAGAAACCAACGCAGCAAAGTCAATCGAACCCCCCCCCCCTAAAAAAAAAACCAACGACCTTATTATCATACGGATCAAACCTGGATGATCTTGGCACTGAAAGTTTGACTGAATTGCCAGTGCACGATGTTGCAAGAGGTGGACGTGCGTCCGTCATTTCCCTTGACCGTAAACGACCATGACTGTCCCCACCGATACTGCGTTTGAGTGCCAGTTTTGACCCCTGTTTCAGGTGAGGGTGGCTTGTCGCTACTTTTGTTCGGAAGAGCGTCGCGGAACTTAGTGGCCGTGACGAAGATGGATAGGCTGCCGAAGTGACACCATTGCGGGTCATTTGCGCACTTTAACTCAAAGCAGACGCCGCAGCTCAGCCCAATGTTGAATATTGCGGTGCTCAGCGCCGCCGTGTTGGCGCCATACCCTTGCCCGTGGGGATTACGGTAACCGCGAGCTCCACCTGCACAACACCCTCAATCTCTAGTGATTAAGCAGAAACGAAAGGCACATTAGTAAAGAAAAAGCGTCCATGACAGAGAAGATACAGACCCATGGTACCATCAGAGGCATCAGCTCCCCTGTAGAAGGTAGCATGAGCATGCTGCCAAGGAACCCCCGGGTAAACCCCTGTGATTCTAACATCGACGGTTAAGGCGAAAGAGATAAGGAATGCAAAGAAAACCAGAGGAACCTTTCCCATGAAAACTGTAGGTGAAGATGCAGAGAGATTCTTTTTTTCTTTCAAGTAATAGAAGTGGAGAAATTTGGTTGAGAAGGAGAAATGTGGTGAAGATTTTTATAGAAAAAAAAGGGACGCAAATATGTGATCACGAAACAGTTTGTCTTTGGTGAACTGTAGTAAAGTTCTTCGCATTGAATTTTCAATGCGAAGAACTTTACTACAGTTCACCAAAGACAAACTGTTTCGTGATCACATATTTGCGTCCCTTCTTTTTTTTTCTCCCCTCTATAAAAACTAAAAAGTCTTCACCACCCCCATTAAATTTCAAAATTGCCCCTCCTTTTTTTTTCTCCCCTCTATAAAAACTAAAAAGTCTTCACCACCCCATCAAATTTCAAAATTGCCCCTCCCCTCCTTCTCCCATCAATAAAAGTCATCACTCTTCACCACCCTATTAAATTCTAAAATTGCCCCTCCCCCTTTCTTCCTTCCTTCGATAAAACTGTCTTCACCACCCATTGCCCCCTCTCAACCAAACGTTGAGGTAAAAAGTGGGGGAGGGGCAATTTTGGAATTTAATGGGGTGGTGGAAAGGGATTGGAGTGAGATGGGCAATTTTGGAAAAAAGGAATTTTGGAAGGGACAATTTTGAAATAATGTGGAGTGGTGGCAGACTTTATAGTGAGAGGGGGCAATTTTTGGAATTTTACAACTTGCATTTCATTTTACTATTAAATTAAATAAACGCGGACTGCATAAACGCCGACTGCTTACCCACTCCCTTTTCCAAACCCCCCTCCTCTCAGACCGCCGCGTATCCTACACCTTCCACGGGTAATCAATTCAGCATGCGTCCGACTGGGCTCCGAGGACTGTTGAGCGTGTTGCTTACGCTCTTAACAGCGAGTGCCTGCAGTGCCGCATCTCTCTGCTTTTCTAGTTTTCCCGGCACAGATGAACCGCAATTACATAATCGTCGTCCTGAAGCACAGAGACATAAAAATTAAAGACATAAAAATAAAAGAACCAAGAGGCTACGGGGTGAAAAACATTCTCTCACTACTTGGGTGAGGCGTTTTTCTCTCCGTACGGGAGAGCTCCTTCACCATCCTTGGGGTGGTCCTTTTCGATCATGTCTTTCCGTCTATACCCATTGAGTAATCCTCACTATCACCCACTGTGATAGGTTGAAACTGTGAGCGGTGGTGTGATCGTGTTTTGCGATTGCGTCCGCAGGTGAGAACAAAGCAATTACTTAAACTGTAACTTCCCGTGAGAGTGTGAAAGAAAGTGAGAGGTGAGTTCTAGTAATAGGTAATGGAAGAAGGCCAAGGCAGTCGTCAAGCCTCTGTTCCGCGAAAGGCCATTGCTTTGGAATGCAACAAGAGAAAGAGTTTGGGAGGCTCGCTAATCGGAAGGCTGGAGGTGGCGAAGGAGCTGCACAAGGGTACTGTATTTTCAATGGTGCAGAAGGGGTGGAACTTGAGCGAGGAGGTCGAGATTTTAGATATTGAGAAGAATGTCTTTGTGTTCCAATTTGACAACAGAGATGATTATCTCAAGGTCCTACGGGGCCGCCCATGGGCCATTCAATCACATTTACTGAACATTCAGCTATGGGACGAGGAGATGATTTATAAAGAAGTGTCCTTTGATCGCTGTCCCTTCTGGGTACAATTCCATGGTTTGCCATTTATGTACATGAACAAAGAGAACGCCATTCGCATGGGCTCATCGCTGGGTGAGGTCGTAATGGTTGAAGACCCCATGAAAGAAGGAAAATTGTTGCGCAACTTTCTACGAGCCAGGGTACTTATCAACATTAGTAACCCCTTGACAACCGGTTGCTGGGTGCCAAGGAAAAATAAAGAGGATGTTTGGTCAGAGATTAAATATGAGCGCCTCCCAAGTTTTTGTTACAAGTGCGGAATCATTGGTCACGAACAGCGATCGTGCCGCTCTAATACGGAAGATACTGGTGATGAATCCGAATTTGGAAGTTGGCTCAAAGGGTCTCCTCCCAAGATCATTGAGGAGCAAATGGTGCTGATAGACCCTCAGTGGTGTGAGAGACTACACTCTCCGAAGAAGAAGGCGCGTGCACCTTTGAAAGACAAGGCGCGTAACTCTGACATAGTGGAGCAAGGAACGGGGAAGATTGGACAGGGTAATGGCAAGGTCGGCGATGGCAGAACGACCAACAGATCACATCAGAAGTCTACTCCTTGTGCAGGAAAATCACCAAGCGCTAGGAGGGGAGATGCTGAAGGAGTTGAAATGGGCTCCGCATCTGGGACCCACATGGCTCTATCTATTGGTTCTCCCATGAAACTCTTTTATAATATAAGCCCACGTAGATGGAAAAGGTGCATGCAACTCGACAGCCCAAAGTCACACGAGCCCATCATAAAGGAAGCTGGGGGAAGAGTGGGTTCGGTGATCGAATTGGTTGAAGATGACACTGATATGTCTAAAGCTATTGTGCCTTATGCGCCCAACTCACCAGTCTCGGACGTCATAGGCAAGTTGGGAGGAGTGAAGTTAAAACGCACCCCACCTGAAATTGAATCTCCACAATGTGCGAAGAGGAAAAAGCAGAATGAGTCACCCGTTATGATCCAACAAGAAAAGGAACCACAGAAGAAGGCCTCTACTAAGAAGAAAAATGTTAGAAGAACCAAGCAGCAACTACGTCGTAAGTTGTCCTTTCCCCCTTCTTATGTGCCTACTCCCATCCTCACTGATGATTGTATCAAGGGCAGAGAGGGAATCTTTGCATCCCAAGTTGGAATCAATGCTAATGATGCTTCGATGCTTGCTGAAGGCTCGAGTGGCTGGCCTCAAACAGCCCTCGAGGCTCCATGAGGATGATTTCATGGAACTGTCAAGGCATCGGGGTGGCCTTGACAGTAAAGAACCTGAAGGAGGTTTGTGGAAGAAAGAAACCCCACTTGGTTTTCCTTATGGAAACCAAACAAAAAGAAAAAGTAGTCAAGAAGTTAAGAAGGAGATGTGGTTTTGAGGAAGACTGGATCGTGAACCCGGTGGGCTTGAGTGGAGGATTGGCTCTCTGGTGGAATGAGGATGTAATTGTTGATATCCTTCATTCTTCTAGAAACATTATTCACGCTGCTATCTACTCTGACACTATCCCTGTACCACATTACATTACGTGTGTCTATAGTCCCCCGAATGAAATAGAGAAGAAAAGAGTCTGGGCAAAACTTAAAGAAATATCTCATGGCATCAAAGGAGAATGGATGTGCTTGGGTGATTTTAATGACCTTACAGAGCAAAGTGAGAAATGGGGAGGTAAACCAAGGGCTGTCAGGAAGATTCTGAATTTTCAGAAACAAATCTCAGATTGCGAATTACTGGACATGGGCTATAACGGACCTCAATATACCTGGTGCAATAGGAGAACCAATGAAGCCCACATCAAAGAAAGAATTGATCGGGCCCTGGCAAATACTACCCTCAAAGAATCCTTTCCAAAAGCCCAGGTATTTCACATGGAACCTATTGGATCTGATCACTTTCTTCTACTGATAGATTTATGCTACAATGGGATTAAAACTCCTTATACTTTCAAATTTGAAATCAATTGGATGGAACATCAAGATTTCAAAAGGTTAGTGTCAGAAAGCTGGAATATTCATTTAGGACTTGATGAAAGTAAAATTGATCAACTTATCCATAGATTGACAAATTGCAAGAGGGCTCTAATGTACTGGAGTAATAAGGTCTTTCCGAACTCAAGTAAGTTGATTAATAGACTTAAACTGCAACTATCAGAATGCCTGGAAGGTGACTTTGATGAGAGCAAACTAAAACAGACAGAAAAGATCAATGCAGAATTAGAACTAGCTTGGAAAAGAGAGGAGTCATTTTGGTGGCAACGCTCAAGAATAGCTTGGTTGAAGGCTGGGGACCGTAATTCTAGATTCTTCCATATGGCCACAATCCGACGTAGGCAAAGGAATTCAATTCTCAAGCTCAAAAGGGAGGATGGTATTTGGGTTGAGGATGAAACTGAGATAGCAGATTCCATCTCAAGCTACTTTGGCAACCTGTTTACTGCTTCAAATCATCGAGACTTTACTGAGATTCTCAGCTATGTTGAGAGCAAGATTGATGATGCAAGCAACACTACTCTGTTGGCTCCTATTACTGAAATGGAAGTTAAAGAGGCAACTTTCCAGCTTGGGGGATCCAAAGCACCTGGGCCTGATGGTTTCTGTGGAAAATTCTACCAAGGCAATTGGGAGACGGTAAGGAACAGTGTTGTTGATATGGTTAAGGAATTCTTTGAAGGCAGGGGTGATGTGGGCAAACTCAATGATACTAACATAGTCCTTATTCCTAAAGTTGATAAGGCTGAGACAGTGAATCATTTCCGTCCCATTGGACTATGCAATTTCTCTTATAAGATCATCTCCAAGCTGCTTGCTAACCGCTTGAAACTGCTACTAGAAAAGTGCATCTCCAAAAACCAAGGCGCCTTTGTACCCGGTAGACTTATCCATGACAACGTGGTTATTGCCCATGAGGTCTTTCATTACCTAAGAAGGAAGACCAGGGGTTGTAAGTATGAATTTGCCTTGAAGATGGATATGAGTAAAGCCTACGACAGGATTGAATGGGATTTCCTACGAGCTGTTATGCTTAAACTTGGCTTCTGTGAAAGATGGGTGAACCTTGTCATGGCCTGTGTTTCCTCAGTACATATGAACATCTGCCTCTCTGGAAGAAAGGTGAGCGCTATCTCACCAAGCAGAGGACTGAGACAGGGGGACCCCTTGTCCCCATATTTGTTTATTTTGGTGGCAGAGGTTTTCTCATGTATGTTGAATAAAAATGTTGATTGTAAAAGCTTGAAGGGGATTAAACTCTCTAACAGCTGCCCAATGTTATCCCATACTTTTTTTGCAGATGATGCACTCCTCTTTATGAATGCTGGTGCCGAGAACTGCCACAAGCTAGCTCATTTGCTGAATATGTACTGTGTGGCTTCCGGGCAACAGGCAAATTTGAACAAATCA